TTAACATATATCATAATACATTTTTTCCATCAGGTATACTTTTAACTCAACTTTTAACAAGAATCTTTACCAACTTTCATACTTTTTATATGCATAAATATTATTCATGCTTATAAAAAATAAATTATGGGTTCTTTTATGGAGGAAAATATGATTTATTTACTTGTACCAATACACTAGTCTTATTATATAAAGTTCCTAAATTATCAACAATTGATATACGGGACAATGTAAGGAATGATCCCTTAAGCTCATACATAGGAATATTATCCGTAAAAATGTAATCGGGAAATGCTTTAATAAGTAATTTTTTTTCTCAACAGACTGTTCAAGAAATTTAACTTCAACAACTTAGTTAAGGGCTTTTTAATCAAATGTATTGTTGAAAATTCCGCATTATGCGACTTTTTTGGTTTAGGCTAATTAGGAATTAAGCTTAATTGTTACAATTTTATATTACGAAGAGTAAATAGATTTCAATGAATTCTCCCGAGTTAACATCATTGGGAAGACTTTCAATTCGTATAAACGTGTATGAGAAAGAGTTTCGTAGGTCGATCTGATCTGTGGACGACGGCTGATTCCCATTGTGCTGCAGCCATTTGACTTTAATACCATGTTCAGGTTGATGCTTCCCACAAGACATCCTCCATCCTTTCGTGTTAAAACCGACTGAGCTTTCGTCTACCATATGATGAGCATTACCAAAGTTTGAACTCATTCCTATAAAATTCTCACGTTAAAACTAGTTCAAGAATACTATATATATATATATATATATATACTCATGAATAACAAACATAATTGAAACTAAATGGTACAGTTAGACATATAATCGTTTGGCTTATTATCTTTGATATTGGTCATGATACTTTTGTTCGAGTACGTGTATGTAAGCGTTTATACGCCATGCCAGTCTTAGGTCATGTTTATCAAAAAATACGTTGAATATGAGTAATGGTGGTAGAAATTGAGTACGAACGACGTATGCTTGCCTGATGGATTGAAGGAGAGAGTTGTTGAGCCACCATCTAAACGAAGGCGACTCAAGTTGTCTGCTTGGTGATGATTCTAACTTCACTCACTCGTCCGACATGCTAGACTAAGGTCAAGGGCCAAGTCAGACGTACGAGATTACGCATCCCCAGCCATACCTTTCTTTGAGTGGTTAAACCTTAATGAGCCTAGACTGAGAGGCTGGGACATATAGTCTAATAACCTGACTTACAGGCTTACAAGCTTAGATCTCATTATATCAACTTTTGTTGTTTACGTACTTACCTAGTTTTGGTCAGGGCTTTTTCATAAGTCATCAAGACTTGATGACAAGTACCTGACAGTAGGCCTTTTAGGTCACTCTGATATGATACCAGTATTGCACATGGATGTCAACACACGCATGCATTGACACAGTGAAACAAAGTTAGCATGAAAGATAATAAGCCGAACCATTCTATATCTATCTATGCCGTTTCGTTCCTTTTTCGGTTTTTAATCATGAACATATATAAAAGATAGGCTAGGGCCGGCTAGTCTTCCTGACCGTCTATTGGTGTAAGACTTTTATATGAATGAATTCAAACTCTGATGATGTCCATCATATAATTGACGAAAGCTCAGTCGGTTTTTATCCGAAATGAGGGAGAATGTCTTGTGGACTGTGTCAACCTGAACTTCGTATTAAAGCTAAACGCCTGCAGTACAACGGGAATCAGCCGTTGTCTTCAGATGAGATCAACCTTCGAAACTCTTCTTCATGCACTTTCATAGAAAACTCTCCTCAACAATTTTATGTTAAGCAATTTTTTTTTTACAGTTTTCTAGTCTGTAATTAAAATCTATCTATTCAATATAATAGATGTAGAACAAAAGATAAAAGGACAAAAATGTTATGGCCTCCATTTTTGTCGCATTTCCCTTTCGATGTATAGAACTGGTCTGATCTCTGCTTAACACAAGCATTTTACAGAAAGTAAGTCAAGGAATTGCCTTCACTTATCTAGTTGACAAGTTGTATCTTGGTGTTGAAAATAGCAAGACTCATTGACGATGTCTATTATGATTCAGGTGAGACTTTTGGGAGTATATCAAGTCTACTGTCCAACGCTTGCTATTATCATAACTAATATAACCACGACCAAGCTGTAAGAACGAGGTCAGACCACTTCTAAACGTAGAATCTTTTACGCATACTTTAGTCAAAATAAATACATAATGATATTTAGTTTGTAAAATATTATAATAAATTAATGGATTAAACTAAGGCCTGTGTTGAAAAGTACGACAAAACAAAATAGTTGTAAGAGCTGCTCATATATATATATATATAGAAAGAGAGAGAGAGAAAATTTAATCACTTCTGTACTTAAATCTATCCATTGTGTTTTTTATTATAATGGTTCGATCTTTTTTTAGAGAAATATCCTTTATGTGCTTAATTCTGAATAATTTTTTATTAGTTAAAAGATTTTTAAATAAGAAGATAGCTTCTTT